TTCTCATAAAAATTGGATATCGAATTGAAAATGTTCTAAAAAATAACCTACTTTTTGGGTTTTCAAACAAATACATTGAATTGATACCTGGGTCATGTTTTTGTGTCAGTGTCCACAGTGCAGTAAAACCTGTGTTCCAGCTAACAGTAACAACAATGATAAGAACATCTCTTATTTGTAGATTTTATGAATGTTATAGATTATAAAACAGTGAAAAAAAGAGGTGGCAGAAAGAAACGGAAAAGGCCTCTTCATGATCGTCCTACTGATCAACAACGATGTGGGAACTATAACCAAAGGAAACCTAAAATTGGGAAGCTGTTTGAGCCTCTTAAAGTCACATCAGATGATTCTGAAGAAGCTGTAGCCAAAGAGATAGCAGAGAAGTTAAATGAGGTAAGACTAGCCATGTTGACTCTATTCATAAAATGATGTTGATGCGTCATTGATGCGTTATAATTGTACAAGTTTCTGTTATATCACATTTCATCATCATTATTATCACCCTTGTCATCCTTGTCATTGTTGTATATTGGGGACTGGGGTAGGAAGCATTTTTTGAAGCCAGTGCTTAAACCTGAACTCTTTAAACAGGATGTGACTAAGTGTAATGTTACATTTTTATACGTTGCGTGGATGGATATCAAACCATTGCAGGATATGTTCTGTCGTCAGGTTGCATCAATTATTTGCTTGTACACCACTGTACATGCACAAAATAGCACACTGTAACAGTGGTCAGACTGGTGCCCAGACCCTTCAGTCCAGAGTCTAATATATTGACCGTAAGGCAGTGGCAAGGGGTAATGTTTTGAAAGAAGTGGAAGGGATGATCGTTTGAACCTTGTTTTTCAAAACAAATTTTACAATTTTTATTTAGAGGGACTTTACTTTAGGAAAACATAGTTCTCTGTGAAATTTAACTTGTCATCTCTGCATTGTAGCTTCCAAGTTTAGTTCTTCTACCTTATTCATAGTCAGCCCATGTACTACTACAATTTGAAACCTTTTTAGATAGCTCAAGTAACATTGTTGCCCTTGATATATTTGCTCTCCTTGATTATATGCACCTGTCCCTTTCTCTTACAGTCGAAGACAATGCTCATTCAGCGAGTTGTGAGGTGCATTGGTTGTGAAAAAGCACTGAAGCTTTTTAAAGACACAAAGGAGATTCAGAACCATGGAGGAATGTGGACAAATGACAGACAAAGATGGTACATGGAACTGGTTTCCCGTTTAGTGCAGTGTTCACTGGTCTGCCTTCTGGCTCTCTAGCTCTCCCACTCTTACTTTTTTATTCCTCCGTTTTCTCCTTAGTTTCAGTTTCGATTGAGACGTTGAGTATTATATCAAACACGAAAGACCGTGTTTAACCACATTTCCAAACACCGAGAAGAGAGTTGAGAATACGATGGGTTGCGGAGTATTGTTTGGCGAACGCTGAGGTTTTTTTTGTAATGTGGTGAAACACGGTCTTTCGAGTTTGATATAATACATTAATGATATCCAGGCATCCATGACATTATGTAATAAGCAATGGAAAAAATATTAGAGAAATAGTACACCACAAATAGAGAAGACGAAAGGAACTTGAAAGCTTGCATAAATTAAAATTTTATCCGTCTGTACTCTTATTGATGATAAAAATGAGCTAATCTGCGTGCGAGAAGTTAGACAGTTATTGTAGAAATATTTATTGAATCATTGGATTGTTTTAATTTTTGTTTTGCACAGGCGGACAAGTGGAGGAGTCTTTCTGGCACTCCTTAAAAACAGATATGTCACCAAAGAACAAAGCAAGTGGATTTTTGCCGTCGAAAATGAGTTAACTAAACAGAAAGCAAAGGAGCAACAGCAAAGAATGAAGGAACGCCACAAAAAGGAAGTGACAGACTTGAGATTGAAACTTAAACAACAGGAGTAGCCAATGCAATAAGAAAAACTTAATTGTTGTTGTTGTTGTTGTAGAAATGAAAGGTTCAAATTTAGGCCCTGTCCACATTACGCCGGAGAAATTTGAAAATGGCGTTTCCACACTGAAAACGCATCAAATGTTTTCCGTCCACACTAGACGGGAGAAATTTGAAAACGCAACAATCATCGGTCATTGAGGAAAACGTGGGCAAGGAAATCGTATGATTATCGTAATGTCATTGTTTGTGAAACGCTCCGTATACGTTTTTTCCTCCACACTAAAACGTAAACCCGGCGTTTTCAA